CGGTCGGAGCCAGCACGGGTGAGCGGGCCAAGGAGGCGGCTAGGGCGGCACTGGGAGCACTGGGAGCACTGAGGGGGACTCTGGGAGCACTGGGGATAGTGAAGGAGCCGAACTGGGAATACTGGGGCGGCACTGGGAGCACTGGGGGCAGCCAGTGAGCGGCACTGGGAGCACTGGGGCGGCCTCGGACCTGCACTGGGGGGAGCCAGGGAGCAGCACTGAGAGCACTGGGATGGCACTGGGAGCGCTGGGAGGTGTCAGCGACCCGAACTGGGAGCACTGGAGGGGGGAGCCAGCGAGCCGAACTGGGAGCACTGGGATGGCACTGGGAACACTGGGAGGAGCCAGGCAACGACACTGGGAGCACTGGGGCAGCCGAGGAGCTGCACTGGGAGTACTGGGGCAGCCAAGGAGCGGCACTGGGCGTACTGAGGGGAGTCTGGGAGCTGCGCTGGGAGCACTGGGGGGTAGCCAGGGAGCTGTACTGGGACCACTGGGGCAGCACTGGGAGCAATGGGGGAGCAAAGGAGCGGCACTGGGAGCACCACGGGGAACCAGCGAGCCGAACTGGGAGCACTGGGATGGCACTGGGAGCACTGGGGCGGTACTGGGAGCACTGCGGGGAGTCAGTGAGCAGAACTGGAAGCACTGGGATGGCACTGAGGGGAGACAGGGAGCGGCAGCGTGAGCACTGTGGCAGCACTGGGAGCACTGGGGCGGCACTAGGAACACTGATGGGAGCCAGGCAGCGGAACTGGGAGCACTGGGATGGCACTGTGGGGAATCAGGGAGCAGCACTGGAAGCACTGGTGTAGCACTGGGAACACTGGCCGGCACTGGGGGGAGTCAGGGAGCGGAACTCGGAGCACTGGAATGGCACTGGGAGCTCTGGGGAGAGTCTGGGTGCCACACTGGGAGCGCTGAGGGGAGCTAGGGAGCGGCACTGAGAACACTGTGGGGAGTGTGGGAGCGGCGCTGCGAGCACTGGGGTGGCACTGGGAGCACTGGGTGGAGTCTCGGAACCACATCGGGAGCACTGGGATGGCACTGGGAGCACTGGGATGGCACTGGATCACTGGGCAGAGCCAACGAGCCAAACTGGGAGCAGTGGGATGTCACTGGGAGCACTGAGGGGAGACAAGGCGCGGCACTAGGAGCACTGGGATGGCACTGGGACCTCAAGGGGGAACCAGCGAGCTGAACTGTGAGCACTGGTGCGGCACTGGGAACACTCCGGGGAGCCAGGGCATGGCACTAGGAGCACTAGGGAGGCACTGGGAGCACTGGGAATGTTCTGGCAGCACTTGGGGGAAGTCTCAGAACGGCACTGGGAGCACTGATAGGAGCCAGGGTGTGGCACTGGGAGCACTGGGGCGGCACTGGGAGCACAGGGGGGAGCCAGGAAGCGGGACTGGGAGCACTGTGATGGCACTGGGAGCACTGGGAGGAGACAGGGAGCCGCGCTGGGAGCACTGGGGCGGGACTGGGAAGTCAGGGGAGAGTGAGGAAGCCAAACTGGGAGCTCTGGGAGGGAACTGGGAGCACTGGGACAGTACTTACAGCACTGGGATGCCACTGGGAGCACTGAGGGGAGTCAGGGAGCGGTACTGGGACTACTGGGGAGAGTGAAGGAGCCAAACTGGTAGCACTGGGGCGGGACTAGGAGCACTGTGGGGAGCTAGGTCATGGCGCTGGGAGCACTGGGTGAGCCAGGGAGCAGCACTGGGAGGACTGGGATGGCATTGCAAACACTAGGATGGCACTGGGAGGACTAGGTGGAGCCAGGGAGTGGCACTGGGAGCACGGGCATGGCACTGGGAGCACCGCGGGGAGCCAGCGAGCCGAGCTGGGAGCACTGGTGCAGCACTGGGATCACTGGGGGGAGCCAGGGAGCAGCACTGGGAGCACTAGTGTGGTACTGGGAGCACTGGGAGGGGAGCCAGCGAGCCGAACTGGGAGCACTGGGATGGCACTGGGAATACTGGGAGGAGCCAGGCAATGACACTGGGAGCACTGGGGCAGCCGAGGAGCTGCAGTGGGAGCAATGGTGGGAGCCAAGGAGCAGCACTGGGCGCACTGGGGGGAGTCTGGGAGCCTCACTGGGAGCACAGTGGCACTGGGAGCACTTGGGGTAGCCAGGGAGCAGCACTGGGAGCACTAGCACGGCACTGTGAGAACTAGAGGGAGTCTTGGAGCCACACCGGGAGAACTGGGGGGAGTCTGGGACCACACTGGGAGCACTGGGGCAGCACTGGCAGGACTGGGGGGAGCCAGGTAGCCGCCCTAGGAGCTCTGGGATTGCACTGGGAGCATTGGGGGTAGCCAGGGAGTGGCCCTGGGAGCACTGGGGTGAGTCTCGGAGCCACACTGTGTGTGGGGATTAACGGCACGGACTCTGGCAGGCAGCAACCAAAGACCCTTTATTACGGTTTGAGCTTTCCCTTTATACAAAACTCAAGTGTTCACGCGCTATCAGCAGCTTACTGATAGGGGACAGCCTTTTGATCACGCGTATCTACGCACAAGCACATAAGCTATTCTTCTAAAAACGCAGCCGTTCTCTGACCTTTAAATATTCCTTCATTTTCCTTCGGTACTTTCTCACTTCCTCCTTTGCGTTCTTCTTACTTGTTGTTCTCTTCTCAAGGACACAAGGCTCGGTCGTCGCGGTCAAACTCCGCAATGCTTGTCGTCGAGCTGCCTATCCCCTCAACTGTGAGCATTGGGATGGCAACTGGGAGCTCTGGGAGGAGCCAGGGCGTGGCACAGGGAGCACTGGGTTGATCCAGGGAGCACTGGTGAGCTGCACTGGGAGCACTGGGGGGGGTCTCTGAGCTGCACTGGGAGCACTGGGATGGTACTGGGAGCGCTGGGGGATGTCAGCGAGCTGAACTGGGAGGACTAGGATGGCACTGGGAGCACTGGGTGAGCCAGGGAGCGGCACTGGGAGCACTGGGATGGCACTGGGAGCACTGTGGGGAGCCGGTGAGCTGAACTGGGAGCACTGTTGTGGCACTGAGAGAAATGGGGGGTGTCTTGGGGCCGCACTGGGAGTAACCTGGGAGGGGCAAGGGGAGCATTGGGATGGACTCGGAGCACTGGGAGAGAGCAAGCGAGCTAAACTGGGAGCACTGGGGCAGTTCTGCCGAACCACAGCCAACCCCCAAAGCCCACCTGCGCGGGCGGGCTCCCAGTAGGAGAGACATGTTGGGGCAGGGGGCAGGCGGGGTTTTTGGAAAAGGACTGGGGAGAGAGGGGATGACTGTTTCCCAGGACAAGAGGGGAAATCTATCTCCTCTCTCCCCACTTGTGCCGCCTCCCTGCTGGTGTCATAATGCACCTTCAAATGATGCGGGCTGCTGTCACAGGGGGATACCCCACATCACAGGGAGGTCTCCCCAGCGCTGCGGCAGTGCCGGC